GAGCTAAATGTGCAAAATATTGCAGTTTGTGAGGGAGAATTAAGCATCCGATTTGAATGATTCATAAAATTTCCTGCATGTTTTGATAAAAATAATTACTTTTGGAAAAAAATTATTTCAATTTTTTTTTCATTTTTTTTATATCGAAATAAATAATTCAGATTTTAAAATTACAAATTTCCAAAACATTTTTTTTCATAAGTTTTTTTTTCCAAGTTTTTTTGAAAATGTAAAATTTTACAAAAATCTAATTTTTTCAAAGTTAAAAAAATTTAATTTTTAAAAAAAAAAAATAATTTCTGGTGCGGGAAGTTTTAGCAATTTGCTTAAGGCACGGTGCCATACACCACTAGTTACAGTTTTTTTTTAATTACAATATTTATTACAACTGTAAATTAATATAACATCTAGCAATAATTATATAATGATAACATAATTTAAATAAATAAGAGTACAAAGGATAGAATTTACATTAAAATGATATCAGTGGTATGATGATTCAATATAAAATAAAAGCAAATAATAATAAAAATAAAGTTAATAAATAAAATAAATAAAAATTTCTGAATAATAAAATAATACTAGAAAAACAATAAAATATAACAAAATAACAATATTAGAAAAAAGATAATGATAATAATAATAATAATTTAATGTTAGCGTTTACAAATGGCTATTTATGAGATTATTAGGAATTTTTTGTTTTAGCCTGGTAACAGTTAAAACACTATTTTGTAGGTAGGTTTTGTTATTTGAGTATGTTCGATTTAGTTAGAGAAATTCTCATCACAAAATCGTGAAATAAATTATATTTACAATTAATTAAAGACTACTCTCATCCCTCGCGTTAAAGTTCCAATTTCGGATTTAAGATAAACTAGTGGTGAATGGCATCGTGCTTGAAGGCAAATTGCTGGAACTTCCCGTACCGTAATGAAATATTCGAGGAATATTAAATGTTTTCAAATAGATTATTTTTTCAAATACTGTAACTTATATATGTTTACAAAAAACTAAATAAACAAAACTTAATCAATCGAATTTAAAATGAAGGGCATTGTCTAATATTTATAAGAATTATATAAACTGAATTGCAAAGTTAAAATTATTTATTTTAAGTATATAGTGAGATTTAAAACTTTAGCTAGAAAAAAATTAAAATTCTATTTATATTTATATATATAAGCAGGGTCGGTCCTGTCCTGCCTTGCATGCGTTGCATGCAAAAAATGCGGGCGCACGCCTTAGAAGGCGCCAAATTAAGCTTCGGAAATTAAATTTATGATTTTTATTTACATTTTTTATTATGTATATAAAATTTAGAATACTTAATAAGTTATAATAAACAATTTAACTTAACTAGGGATACGGAGACAAAAAAGCATATTTATTTTGCAATGTTATATAAATAGAAACAATTAACCGATTAATAACTGTGCAAATTAGTAAATAACAGCTCTGTTTACTGCTTAATTTACTTATTCAATTTTTTCTTTGTTTGAATTTGCCGTGGAATCGAAAAGAAATTATCTAGTCACTAGATAAACTAAATTCTAGTGTATCTAGTGTTCAATTCCATAAGCGCAACTACGAAAGATCAAATTAATTATTGGGCATTATTGACAAAAATTGCGAGCTGGTTTAGTTGAATCGGAACTTGTTAAAAAATATAAACAAATTATAATCGGGAAAATGTACAATGGGAACTCAGTGGTTAGAAAATGGCATATTTATTCCGAGAAATTGAATTGTAGCCATAAATAAAAAAAGATTGTAGCTTTTGTTTTTGCTGCAAATGTTACGCATCTGATGAATTTTGAATGTTGAAGACATGCGTAGTTAGGGTTATGGAAATGGAACAAATATGAAAAATGAAAGCAAAATTTACTTTGAAACGAAAATCTTAAGTTTCTTTTTATACCTAGTGGTGTCCATACTCTAAATTTAATAATTATTAATTATGCAGAAATAATACATATAAAAAATAATTAGTTTTTTTTTTCAAAATAGTTCAAGAAATGTGTAATTTCTTTGCATTTTTTACTGATTTTTGAACAATACTTTTTAAATACGTTAAAAATTTAACTTTAAAACAATAAACTGATACGGGAAAGCAAGGATGAATACAATTCGGCTCTTGCGATATCAATAAGGAATAAGGAGAACATAGGTAAGGATGAAGGAGAAGTTTACGACGCAATTTTGGATATTGTAAATAATGAAAAATTAAATTAAAATAAAATAAAATTTAAAAAATCAAACATGAAATACGAGTGTTATGAGTTCTAGTTTTTTTTTGAGCTCTCTTAGCATGATTTGCTCAATAGAATAAATCGCATAATAAATAAGTGAAATGTTTTAATACCCAAATATTTGGTATTGCACATAAGTTAAAAATAATTGAAAATTTTAAAATATTTGATTCTAATCAACCGCTAATCGCCTCGATTTTCTAAATAAATTTAAAATCAATATGTTTTATACGCTTTTAGATTATAAATAATTATTCCGCACCAGAATAATTAAAAATTAATTTTTAAATAATATGTAAATATTTATATAATTTAAAGATAAACTGTTAAAACAATCAAAATTAATGGGGGAGGCGCTAGAAAAAAAGTTGCATTCGGGCGCTGAGGACCCCAGGACCGGCCCTGTTATAAGTATAATTATAGATATATACCCAGTAAACACGCGATGTGATCTTCTATAATATCGACATCGTTATTATAATGCGGTTATCGAATCTACGCCACAAGAGGATTTTAAACTTGCGTGCGCTTGTGTGTGTTACAATACACGCAAAGCTCGCATTGAGTTGTCTCGCGAGACATAAACACGCGCTGTCGGGGGTAATGACATCGTTGAATTTCATGTGAGATACATGTCGTGCGCTGGTGTGTGTTAGCACACATGCAAAGCATAATCAATGACGTCACACGGCGTGAAGCAAACGCGTCGTGCGCTGCGTTGTGTGCGTTGTGTGCTGGTGTGTGTGACCATACAAAGAAAGCTTTACATCAGCGCGCCGTGGCCACTGATGGAACCGACTGTTTCTTTGACGAAAGTTAACCTAACCCGCGTACAAAATGGCGCAAAATGTCACGAATTTATCATGCATCAAGTTATATTTTCTTTAGTATAATAATTACATTCGTTTAGTTATGCAACTTGTTCATAGTGATAATTGTAGAAAAGTGTAGAAAAATGACACTGTAAGTATATCATATATTATTTATATAGATATGTAATTACTTCACGATTTTGAATTCCATTTAGTGCATTATATCCTGGGATGAAGAAACGTTATTTTATGTCGATTTCTTTAGATGACAAAGGAGGTAACCAAATAGCATATCTTACAAAATCTGAGGACAATAATAAGGATCGTTTATCAAGGTTAAAATTATTATTTTACTAAATTAAGACATTAACATATCCATGTGTTCGACATAACCTCACTTCTTAAATCTCTTAAATTAGTCGGTTGAGAAGCGGATCGAGAATGATTGTTTGAATATGTAAGTCACTACAAATATAATAGCTATACAAATATATATATAAACAGCAAACACATATGCCATGTTCATATTTATTTCAGAAGTCGTACAAAACTGGAATGAAACGATGAACAATATACAGATCTTTAGACAGGCTCAAATAATATATGTTTAGGAGCAAATTGAAGATAATGGAGATTTATCTTCTTAATATGTAAGTTGATTCATATATAGTTGCTGTATATATATTATTTGGTAACAAATACATTATATTTATAATTGTTTTAGAAAACCTCTAAAATTGGGAACAGTATGTCGTATATGCATGAACTTGATTGATGTATTGATGTATAATGAACTGAAGATAGAATGAATTCAATCAGGTTAAAAAAAATGTATGTGCAAAAGCGACTCGAAGACGATTTAGATTTGTCTCCTGAATATGTAAGTTGCTACACATATGGAGTGGTATATATATTATTAGATTCAATAAAACACATTATGTTTCAAATTGTTTTAGAAAACTTCCAAGAAGTACATCATATATGAATATCCTGTATCCTCGCATTTGATGTATTGAACTGGCGATAGAATGAAATCAGTCAGTGTTAAAAATGTATGTATAAAAGCGACTTTAAGATGATGGAGATTTGTACACTGAACATGTAGGTAGCTACACATATGGTAGCTGTATATATATATTATATTATATACAGTAAATCACATTATGTTTGAATTTGTTTTAGAAAACTTCCAAAATTTGGGGCAGTATGTCATATGTGCATAATCTGTATCCTGGCATTTGATGCAATGAACTGGCGATAGAATGAAATAATGAAAAATAGGCAGGCTGTTTGATGTATAAGGAAGTGGCGATAGAATACTTATGCAACACTTCACACTTCACGCCCCAAAAATAGAATTACGTTCATTAGATATACAACAATTTTCATTAAATATACTGTTATTAATATGTTAAGATTGAATAATTTGTAAAAAGTTTTCTAGTATAGTTCATGTTAAAATTTTATAATTTCAAAACTACAATTCTAATTTGTAATATTTAAATATTGTAAAATTTCTTATTATTCACGTAAATAAATGCTTATTCGTACAGAAAAGAATATTAATTGCATTACGTCATCACTTTCAGGTGCTATTACGTCATAACTGAGTCGCCATTTTGTATGACGTCATGACCGAATCGTTTTCATTCGCCAATGACGTCATGACTGGGGTTAACGCCTTACGTCAGACGGTCTTATCATAATAAACAAACATATGTGGGTCAACGTCGATTTTCATGTATCACGAACGCCACGTGCGCCAGAGACCGAACCTCGATAGTTGTTCGATAGTTACATAAATTTGCGGCCGTATCCATTAAATATCGAGGAAAATGAATATGGGAACCGCATGTCACACGACCTAAATAAAATATTGCCACGATGTTGTGGCCATATCGCATGTTTACTGGGTATTTTTGTAAAGTGTTTTATGTTGAGCCTGATCGAATTACATTCTTCAAGTAAAAAGAAAATATGGTTTGGCTATGGAAAACGCGTTGTTATTTTAACGTTCTTGTTTTAAATTTAGCTTGAATTTGTATAAACTTTCATGTTCTTTGGTTCTTCGCAAAGTATTCGCAAGTCATTGACCTTGACCTTCGCAACTTCGATGGGCCTGACAATGCGATGACAGATACATCCAATATTGAAAAAGTGAACTATTTGACAGTTCTTTGATGGTAAACATGTGGTCCATACGCAAAAGTTATATATTGACTTAAATAGCTTTGATAAAATGTGATAACAAGTATTGGCAATAATATCGTAGCTGATTAGCATGAGAGGTCATTTATTATACAGTACATCGTTAGCGTTCCATACATCTCGGCGTTACGACAGACAAACGGAACTATCCGTATAACCTTAAAGAAATTTCGACGAATTTCACCAAGAATTTTTCTTATGTTTTAATTTCATAATAGTGGGTGATTAAATAAGTGTTCAAAATGAATTGCAGGTATCGTTATCAATTTATTTATTAAGTAAATGTTGTTTGGCATGTGTCCGTCCTATTTATAACATTTTCTGTGTATATGCGCACACTAATCAAGAGAATTCTAAACAACAATTATAAATATTTTGATAATAGCATATAAACTTTCTCCAGAAATATTCTGTTCCATTATTCTTAGAAACATCTGCATTATTTGTACATAATTTGATGTAATGCAAATTTTAAATAAATTTGTTGTATCTTAGATAATAAATTTAGATAAATAATTGATAATAACTTTCTCCATCATAAATATTCTGTCTCATTAATTGCTCTTAAAACCATCTGCATTATTTGTGCATAATTTGTTGTAATGCAATTTTTAAATAAATTTGTTGTATCTAAGTTTATATAGATAAATGTTTATTAATTAATTTGTTCATTGCTTTTGAAATATATGATATGAATTTGTTACATGACCTATCACATTTGATAAATATATGCCGAAATATTTTTTTTTACCCACTTCCATTGTTTTCTCTCTGATTTTAATACTTTAATGAGCTATAATTTTTTTATTATTTTATGTAGTATAAAATATATTTTTGTTCATTTTTAGTTATTGCAATTTGCCTGTTGCATATAATTAAATTTATAGGTTCCACACTTAAAGCGAGAATTTTGATGATTTCATTATTTTTTAATAATAGTTGTTAATGCATAAATTAGTTTCATACTTATTCCATATTTTTGTATTGCAATTTTTAAATAAATAAATTTATTGTATCTAATTTTAGATAGAAGAATGTTTAACATTGTTTTTAATTAACATAAAATAGTTGCATGATCTAGCCCATTCGATGAATATATGCTGTAATATTTTTTTTTTACTTACCTTAATTGTTATCACTTTGATTTTAATGCTTTAATGGGGATATAATTTTTTTTATTACGACATGTAATATAACATATATTTTTGTTTATTTTTAGTTAATGCAATATGTATGTTACATATAATTAAATTTGTTAGGTTTCACACTTAAAGCAAGAATTTTGATGATTTCATTATTTTTTAATAATAGTGTTACCGCATAAATTATTTTTATACTTATTCCATATTTTTGCAATGCAATTTTTAAATAAATAAATTTGTTGTATCTAATTTTAGATAGTAGAATGTTTATTAATTAATTTGGTCATTGTTTTTAAATAACATAAAATAAATTTGTTACATGATCTAGCACATTCGATGAATATATGCTGTAATATTTTTTTTTACTTACCTTCATTGTTATCGCTTTGATTTTAATACTTTAATGGGATATAATTTTTTTTATTATAACATGTAATATCAAATATATTTTTGTTCATTTTTAGTTATTGCAATATGTATGTTACATATAATTAAATTTATAGGTTCTACGCTTAAAGCAAGAATTTTGATGATTTCATTTCTTTTTAATAATAGTGTTACCGCATAAATTATTTTTATACTTATTCCATATTTTTGCAATGCTACTTTTAAATAAATAAATTTGTGTTATCTAATTTTAGATATAAGAATGTTTATTCATTAATTTGGTCATTGTTTTTAAACTGCATAATATAAATTTATTACATGACCTATCACATTTCTTGAATATATGCTGTAATATATTTTTTTTTACTTACATTCATTGTTTTTGCTCTGATTTTAATACTTTAATGGGCTATAATTTTTTTTTATTACAACATGTAATATAAAATATATTTGTGTTCATTTTTAGTTATTGCAGTATGTATGTTACATATAATTAAATTTATTAGGTTTCACACTTAAAGCGAGAATTTTGATGATTTCATTATTTTTTAATGATAGTGTTAACGCATAAATTATTTTCATACTTATTCCATATTTTTATAATGCAATTTTTAAATAAACAAATTTGTTGTATCTAATTTCAGATAGTTGAATGCTTAATAATTAATTTGGTCTGTGTTTTTAAACTGCATAATATAAATTTGTTACATGATGTAGCACATTCGATGAATACATGCTGTAATATTCTTTTTTACTTACATTCATTGTTTTTGCTCTGATTTTAATATTTTAATGGGCTATAATTTTTTTTTATTACAACATGTAATATAAAATATATTTTTGTTCATTTTTAGTTATTGCAGTATGTATGTTATATATAATTAAATTTATTAGGTTTCACGCTTAAAGCGAGAATTTTGATGATTTCATTATTTTTTAATAATAGTGTTACCGCATAAATTATTTTTATACTTATTCCATATTTTTGTAATGCAATTTTTAAATAAATAAATTTGTTGTATCTAATTTTAGATAGATGAATGTTTATTAATTAATTTGGTCATTGTTTTTAAACTGCATAATATGAATTTGTTACATGGCCTATCATATTTGATGAATATGTGCTGTAATAATTTTTTTTACTTACCTTTATTGTTTTCGCTCTGATTTATAGGCTATAATTTTTTTATTGTAACATGCAATATCAAATGTAATTATTGCAATATGTGTGTTAAATATAATTAAATTTAGAAATATGATCGAACAACACTCTTTTTTGCACCTATTTATTAAATAATAATTTCACATACGTTTCGAGACTAGGTTTGTCTCATCATCAGTGTGTTATAATTTAAAATATAAAATATGGAAACCTAAATTAGCATTATGTTATTTGTTACAAGTCGTTCACTGCACTGTTAAATTTATAGGTTCAGTACTTAGAGAATTTTGATGTTTTCATTATTTTCATTATTAATTAGTAATTTTTATATTTATTCCATATTTTTGTATTTCAGATTTTCACAAATTATAAGGAATACTTTGAAAATCAGAGGAACATCCGCCAGATATATTTGTCTCTCACAAGCACATTTTCAAAATCATTCACAAAATAATAATGAAAACTGTTCTTCGTGGCATAGTCACAAAGTATTCTCTCTTTTGGGTATAGTTGCAGCTGCTTATGCTGGTTATAGGTATACCAGTAAGTGAAAATATTTTTGTATATATATTTTTTCTTGTTAGATCTATGATTTATTATTGAAAAAAAAAAGAATATCATGAAAAACTTCATTATTTCTGTTCTTATGAAAAAATAGTATAATGTTTTAAAGTTAAACTTTTCTCTAAACTTTAAGTAAAATTCTTTGAACTGTAAGAATTATAAAAAAAATTACTGAATGATGACACATAACCGTGTCAAAATTGGCTGCAAATTAACAATCAAGAATATGTCTCAACGTATAGCAAAAAAATCTAAAATTTATATAATACATAATTCCTAATAAATTATATTATCGAAGTTCATATGTAAGTATTTATTGTACCAAACATTTTGGCACATATTATTATTTCATTTTTGGAGGAAATGCAATTTATAAAATAAATTCTGTAAATAATAATATACAAAAAATATAAAAAATAATAATGAAATAATAATAATAAATTTAATGTATTATTTTAAAAAAATATTATTGAAATACTATATTTTATTACAATGTACTGGTTACATATAGTTTTTTTTGTTGGAAATGCTTGGTTTAATTAATAACTATAAAAGATTACACCTAAAAATATTGATTTTATATTGAAGATCATATATGTTCAAGTTCATATATTTATTTCCTTGCACAGAAAACAATATAAAACTTTAAAAAAAACTTTTTTTTGCAGGTGAAAAAAAATTGCTTCACGTTCATGCAGAAAGTGCAAATGAACTTGGTGTACAAAAAGTTGCAGTAGGAGAACCAAGGCCAGATTTGCCATTCTATAGCATGGACGATGTCACAAAACATGCTTCAATGTTAGATTAATAGATAGCATTTCTACAAGTTTGTGGTATCTAAATAAAAATTGTCTTTAATAGGGAAACTGGAATTTGGGTGACTTATCGTTTGGGTGTTTATGATATTACAAACTTTGTAGCGGAGCATCCAGGAAGCGATATTATAAATTTAGCGGCTGGAGGATCAGTAGAACCATTTTGGAATATTTATCAACAACATAATAATCCACAAGTTTGGGCTCTACTGGAGACGCTAAGAATAGGTATGGACCAATTTTAAGTTATATAGAAGTAAAATCACAAAACAAT